CTCCGACGCAGGCTGGCTCTTCGTGTCTTTTCCAAGATGCATATCGAACTGGGTGTGGATGCCGAAATGATAGCGAACCTCGGCATCTTACTGCATGACCTAAATACTCACCAGCCCTCCGGCAGGCAGACAACATGAAAAGAGCGGTAGCCAGAACGTGTCTTACCATAGGGGCTATCATATGGAATCCTAGCGCAGACCGAGCAGGCTGAATGTGCATGTGCCCCCTGGTGAAGGGTTTGATGTTTATTCAACCGCTGGCCATAGTTGTTCAGCTAAGGCTGAGGCCGTTTCTCCTGTCCGATTGCATGGGGGGATGGGTTTTGGTAGAAATCAGGTTGGATTCGGGGGTCGGAATACTTATAGCCAGTACTAAGCTGTAGTCCCCGTCGGCTTCGAAGTGTCGAAGCCATGTAATGCAATGTAATGCGTCTTAAGACTAGGCATCCTTCCTGTTGGGGTCTTTGAACCATGTACAGATCCTACTGTACTATTTAGGGCTCTGCAACAGGATTCCTTCTCGGTTCTCTTCAACACACTTTCCGGGTGCCGGGCACAGGTGCTGAAGGATTTGCGCACAAAGCCCGAGCCTCAAGTCCTGCGACTGGCCCAACTTCTGTCTCACGAGGTTTAGGTTTCGGAGAGATTCCTGTTGTCGGTCCTCGGTGCTGCATCCTGGAAATGTCCACGACGCAATGGCAATGAACATTCCTGAGCACGACCTTTCCGCTGAATGCAGCGATGGTGTGGAATGCTTAGAACATCTTCGAACGTTGTGCCGACGCAAGTCGCTGAGGTACTGCAAGCAAACGAAGGCATGCGTGCTGGAGTTCGACCACTTTTGTGGGTGGCATCTCAGCTTCTGCGAGCTGCACAGTGCAAGTGGCCGCGGGTAGCTGTGAGCCACATGCTTCATGGGAATGCTTCTGCGGCCGGCCCCAAATCTAGTCGATTTTGAAAAAATGTACTGGGGCAACAGGCAGGCAAAAAACCTACTCTGCAAACATACAGAGAAACAAAGAACGAGGAGACGACAGAGTTTTCATTCGTACTAGTGCAGATTCCGCAAAACCAAGCTGTCTCTCAGATGACTCGCCCAACTCCGTGGTCTCAGTGACCTAATGAAGCACAGCGATGAGTCACTGCTTTCTCCACAGCTACGCTTGCCTGAGTGTGAGAAGTTCTTATGCATCCTAGCGGCACAGCATATGCCTAAGCTCAAAATTCAGTAGGTGACCTGCACGAAGCAATGGCCCAGCTTTAGCCGCGCCAATCCTCTTGCTTCAGCGGTTTGGATCTCAGCTGAAGCTGGGGTTGGTCAGCCTGTTGCATGCAGCAGACAGATATAAAGTGCGGCACCTAAGCCCCGCGTTAACCGTCAGTTGATCCTTTAAATGCAAAGCCCCTTGAGCCCCAACCCTAAACTCCATCGGCCTAATCACCTCAACTCGTAAACCTTATCACAATTAGCACTCCATAAGCCGCCGCACCAGGCACAAGCTGCAGCATCGCTGCAAAGCTGCCGCTCAATGGACTGGATCTTACATTTCAGAAGCTTTGAGGTTTCGAGTGCTACTGCTTGGGGCTTACATGGGACAGTCTGCGTTAGAGGTTCTAGTTTTCGAATGAGTTTCAGGTCTCATGTCAAGTGGCAACAAAGCATGTCCTTCTGCATCGGTAGTTGTTTGATGCCAACTCCCTGCCCTACATTATGCTACAATATATACGGAACGGGCCAATTATATACCCCAAACTCCTATTCCAGCTGCGAAGCACTCTGTTTCACCAGAAGACAAGCTTCTTGCGCTCTGCAGGATCCCTAAGTCACAAGCCCTGTGCTGCATCTGTTCGCTCAGGCGCAGTCGCGCCGTGACGAGGTTTGGGAACGAAAGCGGCAAGCCTTCCTTTCAAGGCGAGAGGGTAAGGAACAAGTGGTGGCTTTGAATTTAGGGGCACAGGCTCAGGCCAGGCAACACAAAATCCCAGTGGGACATGTTGCAGGGTCGCTGTCCTGGAAGATGCCGAACCCCTAAATCCCGGATCCAGAAGTGGAGCACGGGCCCCTCCGATTCCATGTCAGCAATGGGGAGCTCCAGGCAGAACGGCGATGGTGCGAGTGCCGTGAGCCGACCAAGCATGGCAAGTCACAGCCTCGGGTGTTGTGACATCGGACTGTCAAGATTATGGCTGCTAGTACTAGTACTCTTTGAACTATTCTCATCGTTGATGCATTCTATTGCTGATCTTGCACGTGCTGTCCCTGGTACTTGCTTGTTCTTCTAGTTGGGATTGTTGCAGCAGTATTGTGGATGCCTCTGAATGCCTCTGCTTTTTGTTTGGCTACTGCCGGGATTGCTACTGGTATTGCTATACTGATCCTATGTGCTTTGCGGCTAGGCGTAGCAGGCTTTCAGTATCCAAAATTGTGCGTTTGTGTGTGTCTCTTTGTGTTCTCTGGCTTTGCGGCGAGGCTTTATCCGTGTTAGCCAGGATTGCGGAATGTTTCGGAAACCGAGGAGACATATGGATGTTTTGGCACAACTCTAGACGCTGGGCACAAGCAGGGCTTGTCAAGGTGCAGAAGGAAGCAAACCGACCGGCGCCGTCCTCGCGCAAAGACGATATTATGTCCCTGTACTAACGAGATTACAAGGCGGGTGCCTTCCTCGCAACGTATGTAGGGATCCGTATTCACAAATCTCCACAGCGACCAAACCGTGCATGTCCCAAACCCGAAGGAGAAGTACAAAAAGCTTGAGACCTAAAGCCCAACAACCTTCAACCCAAAAACCCTAAACCAAAGACCCTGAATCCTTTAAAAAAAAACCCTATAGAACTGCAGACCCAAAACCCTTGCAAGGTGCAGCTCCTCGGAGCCAGGCTCGACCATCTCCTCTGGGAGGCCCTTTGGGAAGGAGAGGAGCTTTGAGGTTAAATGAGGGGTTGTATAGTCAGGGGCTCTCTTTCAGGGTTTAGGGTCAAATGAGGGGTTGTATCAGGGGTTCTTTTTCAGGGTATGCTTAGGGTACCAGAAAGTTTCTTGAAGGGTTCCTCTTTCGGGTCTCTAAGGGTGCTTTGAGGGTACTGTTAGGGTAGTTACTGTACGGCTGTGTTATGTCCTCTATAAGGGTTCTAGAAGGTTGCTATCCTGGCCCTTGAGTGGATGGCGGCTGCAAGTTAGAAGTTCAAGGTTTTTGGGCCAATCTTGCATTTAGGGTATCTACCATTTACCACCCACGCTCCCCAAAGACATGCGCGCCCAAAGCAGCCACCGCGCTGCACCCGAAAGCCCTTCAATCTCTGACCTTCCACACCTTTGTGACCGATCCTATAGACCAGACCAGGTGCTGACGAAGCACTGTCACGCCTGGCGGTGGCCTCGTGAGATGAAGGATACTTCTGAGAGTAATGCCTCATTCCGGGCCGGGCAAATGCCGAGTTGAGGAGTTCTGTGTTGGGATTTTTGCTGGATCAGACAGGTGAAGCACGGTGTTCTGATGTTTGCATGGATGCGGGTATACGGCTCATATCGAAGCTCGAGCACCGAGGTGCGCGAGGGCTACCCCGAAACAGTTGGTGCTGCGCCACAAGGCACGCCAACGACCAGGCAACGGAAGGATGAAGTGCTTGTTTTGTCATTGCGAGCCACAGCACTGACGCTGTCATGCCCCATTGAGCCGCATGCCGAATACAAAGACCTTCGATCTTGCCGCTTCAGTGGCGGGCTTGTCACCGCTTCACAGCAAAGTGCTGCATCGGGACATGCTTCAACGATGCAAGACGCCTGTCGCCCCTACAGGCAGATGTATGGCATGCACGCCTATGCCGGCCAGGCCTGACCATATCCTCAGTGCCTTCACAGACCTGAACAGGTAACGGCAGAAAGGAAAGCTCACTCGACTTCGCTTCCATGGTCGCGTCGTCCCAAATTCCAAAACCTGACCACGCCGCATTCGGGACAGTTACACGAATGTGCCACCACACAGCATTGTCTGCATCTCTGACATCGGTGTAGATGTATCGATCGAGGGAGATGGGCCTGTAGCAGAAACGTAGAGACGAAGAGGGCCAGACAGTTCCCGGGGTGTTTTGAACTATTGTGATTCCCGCATCTGCACTCGTTGCTTTTGTTCATGAATTGTATAAGTGCTCCTGCCCGCAATCATATCGACGGGAGATCATTGGAAAGCTTGCAATCACTGCTTCGTAGCCCTCGTCACGATGCTGAGGACGGTTACGGCATGTTAACAGTTATGCCAAATCGAGTCATTATCACCATCTTTGTGGTCTAAACACATCTAAACATGTTTAAAGAATGTGCTGTAGCCGAAACCGCAGCAGACAGTCAAGCTTCTGCAGGCCGGCTCGCGCCCGAACAGCCGCTCGAGAGATCCTCCTCAACAACCGTCCCAACAGGCACTGCTTTGGATTCTAAGCCTGCGAAGCTCGTGCCACAACTGCAATCCTTGATGTGAGCGGACGGTGACTCCATTTTTTCTTGGTCTAAATGCTGCTTAACGTCGCATTGTATTCTTGTTGCAGACTCCTTTCCTTGCACTCTTGACTGACCTGCCTGGTCGCTCCCTTTCGCTGTCCTGAGTTTCAACCGTACCGTGAATGTTGTAGCATGTAGGTAGGGCCGTCCAGCTTCGCAGGAAGGTTTTCACAGTGGTGTGGCTCAACAGTGGCTAGCTCCTCAGTTTTGCTGATTGCACAGTTTCGGGCAGCTTCAACTGAACCTGGAACGAGTGCCTCCACGTCATTGCAGCTCTGGTTCCCTGTATCCCAACTTTCACTACAAGAGCACATTGGCAGCCACGTAGGCTCAGAGTTTGAGCACTCGAAGAGAAGGAGCAGCAAGATGGCCCGGTTTTGCCTTGGGACCTACTCAGGTGCAACGTCCTACATACTCCTCGGACCCGAACAAGCGCTACCCTGTTAGTATACAACGTACCATACAACTACAGAGAGGCTGATCAGCCCTGGTGCAGAAATCGCAAATGGCTGCTGCGGCTGCTGCAGCTGTTGGCGCGGTGGGGGTGCACGAGGAGGGTTTGTTGCAGCGTGCATATGCCATGCGCGGCGTTTGAGCCGCTTCAATCCAACTCACGGGTCCTTCGCCAGTAGTCAACCGGACCAGTCAGTTTGTCTTCGTTCATGGTCCTTTGCAGCCCACATATCCCGTTAAATCCGCTTGCAGGCGCTTCTTGTCGGGCTGTCACAGATCACATATACACAAGCAATCAGACACAAGCCACGTTTAGTCAGTCATGGTTGTTTTTGTATGGCAGGTGCTGATTCTGCCTTCGCAGCAGTGTTGACAACCTGAAATTCTAGATTCTAGACACCATCAGTGGCAGAACAAACCATGGGTTGGATAAGGGGCTCAAGCCAGCTGCAGGACTTCTTTGCAAACCCAATTGTCTGATTCTCAGTCATGGGCTTGCAGAGCTTTATCCCCTGCAGATGGCTAGCTCGGTTCACACATCCTCCCCAACCGCTTGCAGAGCAATGTGGATGTCCTGTCCCGTTTTTTGCTGGCTATCTTCGCTGCTCTGAGGTGGACGGTGACTATCCGGACCCCGGAGCAACAAGGATTGGCGACCACTACTACTTGGTAGCAACAGGCGGTGGCCCGCAAGGCTCCTGGGATCTCTTCAAGTGCGCACTGGGCCGAGTCTCAGCTCTCACGTCCTACCGACAGATCGCCGCTTGAGTGGACTTGTCCAGGTGCCTTCCGCATGCTTCGGTCTTCTGATTTGGTGCATTGGGAGAGTTGCGGCCAGGCGGGCCATGCAGTGCCCTGCAAGCTGTGGGATGGGCATGCCACGGCTGATTATGAGAGTTATAAAAAGAGCATCTGGCAGATGAGACGACACAAATCAGAAGGATCGCCGCGAGCACAACCAGTAGCAAGCCGTGACGACAACAACGGCGTCAGCCAACACCAACAAATGGGTCATCCTCATGAGAGGAGCCCCTGGAAGCTAGGAGATTCCAACACATCGTACTCCAAAGGATTCTCGTGTCGTTAACCCCAAACGGTTCTCCTCCAGGTGTTCTCCTCCAAGAGCCTTCCGGTCTGGAGTGGGGGAGCCCATGGCCAGCACAAGCCTCAACACAAAAGGGGTTCTGATTCACACCGATGAACCATGGATGCTGCGAAATTGAAATGGTGAGTGGAGGGGTGCGCTGGCACTTCCTTGCAGGTAGACACGATGTTTTGTATGCGTCGCGCAAGGAAGTGCGACTACTGGGCCCCGGAGATACACCAGCAGCTTGGCAGCAAGTCTGGAGTGTCGCATGCTTGCACAGTCCGCAGAGTCAGGCTGCCAAGCGGCAGGACCGCCGTCTTCTTCAGTGCCCGCGAGCCAGCGCCGGGCCGGGCCTTGCACATTGGTAGCTTGGCTGCTTTGTCGCATTGCATGTGCTTTGTCTTTTGCAAGCTTATGGGGCCTACTCAAAGAGGGCCTTATCAGCCCAAAAACCAGCATTCCACAAAATACAACAAACTACCGACTTCTTCAGAAAACTACCATGCCAACCTGACTCGGAGGACAGAATAATGTCATGATTCACAACACTTGCAGGGCTTTAGTGTCCGGATTCTTGCTGAAGGTTCGGGGAGGAAGTGGGCAACGACCAAAACGCAAACCAGATTTGACGTTTTCGGGAAGTTTCGGAAGTGTTTGGTAGTTTTGGATAGGTTGCCGTGGCTGATTCTCGGTATTTGTTCGTATTGTTTGGTAGTTTTCCGTAGTTTCGGGTAGTGTTTCGCACTTTTGTTTGTGGTAGTTTGGTGTAATCTTGGGCGCTTTTTGTTTGGTAATTTTGGGTAGTTGGTGGTAACCTGGTAGGTTTTTGCTGATGTGTCCGGTGTTCTGGGTGTCTTATTGGAGTCTTGGGCGGCCGATGTCAGCCACGAATTATCTGAGGTGGAGAATGTGGAGACACCAACCCGACCACCCGACCCAGATCTTCGATCCATTGCCCTTTGTGGTTCACCCCAACCCTAAACCCTACACCCTCGGTGAGCTCCAGGCAAACCGCAGGGAAACTCCAAGCGAAAGCCCTATTATAACGGGCCAGGTAGTTTTGGGTAGTTTCTGGAGGTTTGTAGAAGTTTTTGGAAGTTGTGGTTTCAGGTTGAGGAAGTTTTCGGATTTTTTTGAGTAGTTGTGTCCCAAGATGAGAATGCCCCTTCCGTGTAGGCCCCTGACCCAATGAATGACTTTGGCCCAACAGCCAGCAGAGTGACTACAGCACATCCGGAGTTTGTAAACAGCATAAGTGTGCGCGTGTGTGTGTGTGTATATATATATATACACATATTTATGCCTATGTCGATGTCGATGTCTATGTCTATGTCTATGTCCATGTCGATGTCTATGGATATGGCTATGGCTATGGCTACGGCTATGGCTATGGCTA